AGAAAAATAACACATGGAGTGTGGTTGAACTACCACAAGGCAAGAGTGTGGTCGGATGCAAATGGGTATTCACTGTCAAATTCAAGCAGGATGGATCAATTGAAAGGTACAAAGCACGGCTTGTTGCAAAAGGTTTCACACAAACCTATGGAATCGATTACACTGAGACATTTGCTCCAGTTGCAAAGTTTAACACAATAAGAGTCCTCTTATCACTAGCGTCAAATCTGGATTGGCCTCTATTTCAACTCGACGTGAAGAATGCTTTCTTAAATGGTGAATTGGAGGTAGAAGTATATATGAGCCTACCACCCGGGTTTGAAGAGGGTAAGAGAAACAAGATGGTGTGCAAGCTGAAAAAATCGCTATATGGACTAAAACAATCTCCGCGCGTATGGTTCGACAGATTTTCAAAGGTGATTAAAGGCCATGGATACTCACAAGGACAAACTGATTACACGTTGTTTGTGAAGCACTCATCAGATGGAAAAATCACGGTCCTAATAGTATACGTAGATGATATAATACTTACTGGGGACAACTTTGAAGAAATGGAGAAAATTAAAAGGTTGATGGCTATGGAGTTTGAAGTTAAAGATCTCGGGACACTGAGATATTTCTTGGGAATGGAAGTCGCAAGAAGCAAAAGTGGGATCTCCATATCACAAAGTATACACTAGACCTATTGCAAGAAACGGGTATGCTGGGGTGTCCAATTGAAGGAGGCAAGGCAAAAGCAATTGATGGAGAGATGACTGATAGAGAAAGATATCAACGGTTAGTGGGAAAACTAATATACCTCTCGCATACACGACCAGACATCGCCTTTGCAGTTAGCGTGGTAAGCCAACAAATGCATTCACCGTGCCAAGGACACTTCGAAGCTATTTATCGAATATTACGATACCTCAAAAAGACTCCGGAAAGAGGATTATTTTTTGGAAAAGAAGAAAACAGAAGGGTGGAAATCTTCACTGATGCAGATTGGGCTGGATCTATCGAAGATAGGAAATCAACATCTGGATATTGCACACGCCTCTGGGGGAATTTGGTGACTTGGCGCAATAAAAAACAGTCCGTAGTAGCAAGAAGCAGTGCTGAAGCTGAATACAGAGCCATGGCTCATGGTATCTGTGAAGCAATTTGGTTGAAACGATTGCTAGAAGAGTTGAAGATCAATTGTGAGTTCCCTATGCAGCTCTACTGTGATAACAAGGCTACTATTAGCATAGCACACAACCCAGTCCATCATGATAGAACTAAACACGTGGAGGTGGATAGACACTTTATTACTGAAAAGCTAGAGAAGGAAATTATCAGCATTGAGTACATTCCTACAGGACAACAAGTTGCGGATATACTCACCAAAGGACTTCTTGGACCAACGTTCGAGTACTTTGTAGGCAAGCTTAGGCTCATTGATATCTACAGCCAAGCCTGAGGGGGAGTGTTAGCAGATAAGATCTTTTTTAGAGAGTTTGAATAAGTCAAATAGTCTTTTATTTAGTTTATTATTTCCGGTTATATGGATTAGGGGTTATCAGTTAGGATTTAAATTCAAATAGAGTAGATTAGCTAGTAGAAATCTTTCTACCATAAATCTAGGAGAAGATAATAGACTCGGTATTCAAATCATAGTCTATTTAAGTGTACTTTCATTCAATTAATAAAACAAGGCAGTTTAATTAACCTGCGTTCAGGAATAGTAGGCTCTTTACTGTTTTTCCGATTCTTCCTCCTTGAGTAAGCCTGAAGCTCTTAGTTACTCTTCTCAAGAAGAGTTGGTAGTATTTCTCCCCCTGTCGAAGTATCAACAAGGCTTGGCAAAATAGATTTAGGAGCATTATTATCATGAATAGTTGGAAGAACAATATCCTTATCATTAGGTGGTGTATCCACAATTTTAGGTAACGAAGTAGAAGTAGGAATAACATCCCATAAATTTTCTTCTTCAATATTTTCTCCCCCTGAAGGAAATTTTTGTTGAAAGTAAGGTTGATGTTCAAGAAAGGAAACATCCATAGTAACAAATATTTTCCGAGTTATGGGATTAAAACATTTATACGCCCTTTTATTTGGAGCATAGCCTATAAATACGCATTTTCAGCCCTTGGATCAAGTTTAGACTGCCCCTTACTAGGTAAATGAACATAAGCGGTACAGCCAAAAATTTTAAGGGGCAGATCCGACTGAATACGAATAGAGGAAAAAAAAATTTCAGACTTTCAAGAGGAGTACTATAGTTTAAAACTCGAGTAGGCATCTTGTTAATTTGATAAGCTGCTGTTAAAACTGCATCACCCCAAAGATATTTAGGAATATTCTTTGAAAACATAATGGCACGAGAGACTTCATGTAAATGTTTATTTTTTCGCTCAGCAATACCATTTTGCTGAGGTGTGTCAACACAAGTGGATTGGTGATGAATCCCTTTTTCTCTTAAAAAACTTCCAAGGATTTCATTAAAATATTCGGTGCCATTATCAGTGTGCAAAATTCCTATTTTAGTTTGAAATTGAGTTTCAACCATTGTATAAAAATTTTTGAACAAATTCTCAACCTTAGATTTTTCACCCATTAAATAGATCCAACATAAACGAGTACGATCATCAATAAAAGTTACAAACCATTTTCTACCGGAAAGAGTTTTAATCCTTGAAGGACCCCAAACATCACTGTGAATTAAATAGAATGGTTTTGAAGATTGATAAGCTTTTGAAGAAAAAGCAGTTCTCTGACTTTTTGATAAGATGCAATTCTCACAATAAAGTTTTGAATAATCCACACCACGAAATAACATAGGAAATAATGTTTTTAGATAGGGAAAACTAGGATGTCCTAGTCTATAGTGCCAAAGCATTATTTGATCCTTAATAGGAATAGAACTAATACTACTTAAGCCTTGAGCTTTTTTATTCTTGGAGTTTCCATCTTCTAAATAGTAAAGGCCATCTATCACCTTAGCACTGCCAATCATCTTCCCCGAGTTCCTCTCCTAGAACACACAATGAGATTCAAAAAAGGAGATATGACAATTAGAATCCTAAGACAATTTGCTCATTGATAGAAGGTTACATGCAAGTTTAGGTACATGGAGAACAGATTTGAGTGATATGGTATTAGATAATTTTATCAAACCTTTGCCGGCAATGGGAGAAAAAGATCCATCTGCTATACGAATTTTTTCATGGCCAGAACAAGGAGTATAAGTATGAAACAAATGGGAAAAGCTTGTCATATGGTCAGAGGCTCCTGAATCTATTATCCAAGGAGTAGAATATGAAAAACAGGATAAGGCAATCGATTCTCTACCTGTTTGAGCAAGAGAAGTACTAGGAGTACCCGATAATCCTGAGTTAGATTTCAGCAACTTAAGGATGTGATCAACCTACTCCTTGCTAAAGGGAACAGCCGCGGCTTCATGTGCAGCAGGTGAGGAATTGAATATGCCTTCATGTTTGCCTTTCCAGTTTGTTGGTTTCTCGTGAAGCTTCCAGCACGTTTCACGCGTATGGCGTGGCTTGTTGCAGTGATCACACCACACACGAGGTTTCTCTTCAGATTTCCGAGGGTTGAAATGGCTAGCATGTGCCTCGGCAATAGCAAGGGCAGAGTTCTCAACATTATGGCCTGGTATTTTCTTACCAAGCATGACAAGTCTATGACTTTCCTCTCTACGAACCTCAGAAAAACCTTCTCTAAGGGATGGAAGGGGCTGTCTGCCGATTATTCTCCCTCTAACCTCATCAAAGTCAACATTGAGTCCAATAAGGAATTTGAAAATACGATTATCCTCCACAGTTTTCTTATAATGGTTGCAGTCCTCAGGAGATTTCTACTCATAATCACTGAATAGGTCTAGATCCTGCCACAACAGTTTCAGAGAATTAAAATATTTTGTGACACTTCCCTCACCTTGGCGGATTTCTCCAAGTTTCAGTGTTAATTCATACACTTGGGACTGATTTCCCAAGTCTAAATACATTTGATTGATATTGTCCCAAAGCTCCTTAGCAGTGTGGTAACACATGTAGTTGGAGCTAATTTCTTCCTCCATGGAATTCACCAACCACGTCATCACCATAGAGTTTTCAGCATCCCAAGTTGGATGAGAAGGATCTTCCTGGGCAGGTTCCTTATTTTCTCCTGTCAAGTAGCCAATCTTCCCTCTCCCGCGGATGTACATGCGCACAGACTGAGACCAATGCAGGAAATTTTCTCCATTCAATCATATTGTAGCGATCTGGACAGAATGAGAATCATGGGCAAGAACATGTGGCCTGGACGAATCAGTTTCAGTGGTTTTTGACTGGTTCACAGAGGTGTTTGTGGACTCTGACATAGTTTCAGACATTATGGAAGGATGGTTGGGACGACTAGGGTTCAAAAAACTTCTAGTGTTGTAAGAGGACGGCTAGGGTTCAAGAGAATTAAAGGGATCAACTCACTGATACCATATAAACGAATATGGAGAAGAAAATAATGTGTATATTCAACATCAGTAGGTTTACAATGTATACTTAAATACTAATTACAGGGAAAACTATTCTAGGAAAGACTAATAACTATGGAAAGTTAATAGCCGTACAAAATCAATCTTAATCGCTACTTTCCTAATCTTCTTCAATCATGCTCTTTGACTTAATCTTCTATGATGAGCCTAATTATCCCTAATATTCGATATATTTGATACCGAATATCTCCTTCTTCAACATGAACACATACCGCAAAATATAGGTAAAATTGCTGAGGGAGGGAGGAAGGGAGAACAATGTTTTTTTTCCTCCCCTCCATTTACTAGTTCAAGAACTAAATTTGAAAATTTTCAATTACAAGACAAAAGCTGGAATATGTAAATTGCTACATTGCTACGGCGTGTCACATTATATTTTGAGCCGATATTCTTTACGTATATAGTAGCAATTCTATCATTTTGTGGCAGCATCCAAAATACGTATCTAAAATATGAAGATAAAATGCTAATAGTCATAAAGCCGAACCTGAAATGATAGCTTTGCAGCTTGAGAAACTTCTGAAATTGAATCAAATTGTGAAAACCACCACGGTCCCATTAAAGACTTCAGATGTGGAGCTATATCTCTCCTGAGAGAAACATGCAACAGAATACACAAACATATCAATGAATTTTGGCAGTAACAGGGACAACTAGTAAAATAAGATGCACTGGATGCTGGTATTCATCATGTACCATGCTTGTATTAGTAATCAAAATGTAATCATTTTCAGAACGTTTATACTTTGACTTAGAATTCCATACAAGAGATCCAAGATAAAGGAAAAACTCAAAATTATATAACTAAGTATCCATTCGAGATTAAAAATTGGGGAGACACCAAAATGGTCTCGATATAGCTTACAAGCATCGTGAAACTATTCTCAGAATGAATCTATTTTATAAAATTATGTCTATTCTATATTCCAAAATTTGATTTGAATATTCCAAAATTGAACACATAAAATTAATCTTCTTCTTCTTTCTTTCCTTTTTTTTCCCAGGAGAGTAGTTCATCCCTCAGAAAAGAACACAACCAATACTCAGAACCAACCAAAGCAAAAGCTTAAATAAACATAATGGTATTTTAGAGCATGAATGAAGACAAAGCAAAAGCTTATCCACATTTCCACATAGTTAAGAATATTTCGAAGCACCTAATACCCAAAAAGAGAAAAACATTCATGTAATTACATACACACACACACACACACTGTGCATGGGAGGAGTTCAAACCCGGCAGCGGTAACAAGATTGGTCATTGTATCATGAGTTGCTCGCCGCACCTCCCTATTATAGTCCATCAACAGCCTTTTGTATTCAAATGCCTAAGAACAAAAAGCTGCATAAGTCTAAAATAAATTGAGATCACAATCAGTTATGAAATAATAGAATAAAATAAAAAAGCTAAACAACTGTCTTTAGAGTTCATGGCCTGAGAAACCGAGACTTAGGTCGGCTTTCCTCTGTGTTCCATTTTACTCTCATTCTGCGGGTGTCACTCAAACATCGTATAAGCCTTCCATTTGGAAATTTGTGTGTGTGTGTGTGTGTTCTCTTAGGAAAAGAAAACAAAAGCCAACTCCACTTTTCAGCCAAATGGATTACAGAACAAACAAAATGCGTAAGAATGTACATGTTTAGCATGCATATCGAGAGACAAGAAACCGTACCCATTGTGGAATTATGGATAATATGTCCTTTCCAGACTTTTCCTTGAGCCGCGCAGACAGAGAGGCCAGTGCCTTGAGCTGTTGAAATGAGGAAATCAAATGAGTCAAACCATGGTACCGGAATAAGAAAAACGATAACCAAATGGAAATAAAGGCACGTGTAAGCAGGCAATAAAAGAAGTGACTTTGGCAAGCAGAATTCACCATTGCCCCCAATAAGAATACAATAAAACAGGAGTCTACATCATAAGCAAAAAGCTTACAACCTATAATGACACCTTTTGAAGATTAAGAAAATAACACGCTAAAGAGTCATATTTTACAAGAATTATAGCCTCAAATTAAAAATTAAAAATAAAAGAGAAACCACCTTGGTGGTGGGATCCTTCCTCGCAAGCCTCTTTAAATGCACAGCCAATTCACTATCTATCTCCTGCAAAACCCAAATAACAGGACTGCTATACATAACGAAGCGCATTTCATGTTACGAATTACAACAAAATGAATATAAATATATAATCTTCGAATTTGATTGAAAAGAAAAAAAAAAAGCATCGTTTCGTGCGATTTTCCGATGCTTTTGGTGTTATTCGAACCAAAATTCAAAACCTTGCATTAAAGAAAAAAATGAAGAGCTGGAGGCCTAACCAAAAACGGCGCCGTATCGTCGCCGGAGAGGGAAGAGTCGAGACGAGAGCTGCCGACGTATCCGCCGAATCCCACCGTCGCAGCAGAACCCGACGGCAAAAGCGCGGCCGCCAAACTGTACGAAAATCAAGCACATAAAAAGAATTTATGTACATAAAACAATTCCAATTCTTGAATATATACGCACTCACATATATATACATATATTATAGAAAACTGAAAATCAAGAACATTGAAAAGAAGATAGGAAAAGAAAAATTTACCTGCTGCTTGAAGGGTGAGCCTTACTCCTAGCTCCTTCTCCTTTCTGCCTGCCCATTATCAGAAACGACACCGTTTACTGGTTCAGAAGGAGGTAGAGCTAGAGAGAGAGAAGATGAGCTTATGGTTGGTCTGAGAATTGGAACCCCTTTTTTTCTCTTTCTGTGCTACGAAGCCGTCGTTTGAGTCAGTTGAAGTGGTGATCGGGGAAGAAGGACTGTGATCTGGTGCGGAAGTGTGTAGCTTTGTTAGCGGTTTAACCGCCTTCGAGCCTTTCGATACGTCTGACATGGCGTGGCTCTACGTGGGGTCGGTGAAACCAAAAACGATGCCGTTTGAATTTTTGACTACGACATGTCGTTTGATCAGTTCACTGAACCTTTTTTTTTTAGATTTTTCTGGTAGGTCAAGAAAAGTAAATTCACGTTTGGAAGGGGAATTCGTGTCATGATTTGAATCATAGTTTATGACTCACTATATTATTTTTTCTCATAAAAAATACACGTAAAATGAAAATTGTTCTAAATCATGGTTCTGAATCCATGAACCAAACGTCCTATCAGAATTTCATGTCAAATTTTATTAATTTGTTATATTCGTTTTAATTGCTATAATTTAATATAATCTTGACACTTCAAAAATGTGTTTTACTGATTATCCGCAAAATAACAATCTTCCTTAACGTTAATCATTTGGAGAAGTCTTTATTGAAAAGTTTTATCCCAAAAATAATAAATGAATAATGGTATAAGATAAGGTAAAATATACTTGTAAACCTAACCAAATAGTTGAGACCTGCTGTGGCATAACTTGATTAGTCCAAACTTGAAAGTGATACTCAAGTTATTCTTTAAAATAAAAAAAAAAAAAAGATATCCCAATGCTACTAAAAATAAAAAATAAAAAAAATTATAATGTAGTAAGTATGGATCTAACGTTTGATTTAATATTTAGGTCAATCTTTAATTTCTCTTCATTTTATTATGTGGGCAAAGGTGATGCTTTTCTAAACTCGACGTGTCTTTTACCCGTAGTAAAGCAAAGTTTGCCATATTTTCATGCGGCCATCAATTTGCTTGTTTAAACGAGTGAGGAAAACGCTCGCTGGCTTTCATCATTTCACAATATGTGCAATTTTTAGACGTTACATTGCAAATACCTCAATTATTTTGCAAAATCCATTTTTTTTCTTTTTCAAACTTATGTTAAAGTGAAGCGTAGAAGATAGTTTAAACCATAATAAAAAATTTAAAAAAAAATGTACAATGACATGATTTTTCTTCTCTCTTCCCCTTTAGGAATGTGCAGTTGGCGAGTTGGAGATAAGAAAATATAATAGACGCACGTTATGCTCTTTCTTTTTAATTTTTTATATTTTTTATATTTTTGAAAGGTTTGCTCTTTCTTTTTTAAAGAATTTGTAATTGTACAAATCTTCTATAATCTTCATCCATGAAAGAATATTACAATCAAAGCCACAATCAATGCATGATCAGTAGATCCAGGAAATACAGTCAATCGGAATTTACCCCTCTTAACAAAAATCTGGTTCAGTTTGTACATGAGGCTAGTCTGCATCAACAGGACACAGAGAAGTAAGAACGTGTCAGGAAAAAATGTGCACCACATGAATTTTAAAAGCAAAAGTTAGATAGTTGAAGAAAGCATTGATCGATTAATGAGGAACAAGTGCTTTTGGAAATGACAAGGATGGTTATTCAGGTATACTATTTGCATCACTAACGAACACATAGATTAAACATATTTTTGTGCATGAAGTTGAATAAACAAGGAAAAAGAAGGCTAAAGCAGAAGAAAGCAAAAATTAAGAGTACAGAAGCATCTTCAGCTCACAAACACGAGCGGTTAAAAAAAAAAAGGGAAAAACCGTACAAGTTCCCACAGTTTTGAACCGTTGTCTTATATTTTCATCAAGTTCCAATAGATTACCATGTCTTTTACATATATTTGATGATTCTGACGAGCTCTTACGGTTCAAACAATATCATACTGCTAGCATGTGTTTTATTATAAGCCAAATCCATATTTTGTTCCATGACTTTTAACACGTCCAGTGACGAATCTGCCAAAATTGTCCTAATCTAAACCTTCCATTAATCTGAATGTTAAAATCTCAACAAAGAAGACACGGTTTTCTTCTTAATAATTGTACCTTAACATGTAAATTACATAATTCACTCCCACTAAACTACCCATGGTACTCACATGCCTTTTATAAAAAGATTTAAAAATCAGATGGACAAAAGAGACCACTTCAGGACAATTTGGTAGATTATGAACTTGTTCTAAATCGTTTTAAAATCACTAACCAAAATGGAATTTGATCTACAATTCGAGATTAAAAACAAAAACAAAAAAACAAAAGATTAACCCCTTATTTTTTTATATCCTCCAATCGAATTCTACGTAATCTAGATCATAGAGGATCAATCATTAAGGTTACCGTTGCATTTTCTTGAGGCTGAAGCATACCTGGGCCACAATGTCATTGCCTCTATAGACGGTGCAGTTTCTCTGACAAGGAGAACCTTTCACCTGGAGATTAGGAGCTGACTCTTCCAAATTTTCAGCAACGAAAAACACCTCTAACTCCATTCTAGTGAGTGTATTCTTCGCTCTCCGCACTCTGAATATCAACTCCTCATTCTCACCATTCCCCTTAAAGCAGCTCCAAGATCCCTTCTACAATCACAATTAATTCAATCCTTCTCAGATTACATTCTCAGAGCTAATTAATTTCGCTTATGATGAATTTCTTGTATTTCTTTTTTTAATTACATAATACAGGAGATGATTTGGCTAAGAAGTTATATGAATAAGTTAATAAATTCCTAGTTCCAGACAAATTAAAGGAAGAATTATGGTAATAACTGAATTAACTAACAGGTTTTCGAACCATTAAAAGAAAGTAGAAATTAGAGACTAACATGGTTATGGTGTATAGAAAGGAGAGGATTCCCAGCTGCGTCAAACAAAACTCGCTTGTTGGATGATGATGATGATTGAAGAGAGGAACGACGGTTGATCTTGTAAATGATGTTATTAAAGGAATCCACGAAGCACAAGACGCCGTGTTTGTACGCAGGATGTTTCTTTGACACAAACAGATCAACGGGGATTGGTATGGGTATGGGATCTGATTCTGAAACTGCCATAAAAACCAAAGAAGAAAAAACTCAGTTGTTTCACCGGAGAGGAAAGGATGATGATGGAAATGGAATCGAATCGAAACTTGGAACAATTTATCTTAAAGCCACGGAAAAAATAGAAGAATTTTGAGTTGGAACGTTGGAGAATTTAAGGACTTTATTAAAAATAAATAGAAAATAGAAATCGTTAATTAATTAGCTTTTTGTGTATGACAGAATGGATAAAAACAGCTCCTTTACTCCTGTCCTGTGCCGGCTTTGTTTCGACTTTTTTTTTTTTTTTTTTTTTGCCCTTTCTCTCTGAAAAGAAGAGAAAAGCAGAGCAGGTGAGAAATGGGGAAACGGCAAATTGAAGGAAATGAGATGACCACAATTGACAATACCACGCGTATGAAATTTGGGCCATGTTATAGAGACCCAATCAAAACTTTTGGGTTTCATGTTCCAAGTCCAACATGTTATGCCCAACCTAATATTTTGGCATTTGGTTCTGATAGGAAACAAATATTAGTCAGCAATGAGATCAACATTGTTGGTTTTAAAGCATCTCTTTTTCATGCTTACCAATTCAATTAAATTATGCCGTAGAAAATAATATGGATTTATAGCATAAAAAGCTTGCGTAATTGAAATTAATTATTTTTCTTCGTTTTTTACACGTACCGACTGCTATAGTTGAATTACTTTTTCTTTTGCCGAGAGGTTGAGATCTGTGTTCTTGAATCAACTATGTGAACTGCTTTGTTTAATCTCAATCCATGTACATCCTGTCTCTTTCCTTACACCTCTATTTGACATCAACCTTTTCACTTTTGCAACACCTTCCAAGTCCCCAACAAGTCCATACAAGTTTGATAGCAACATATAGGCACCCGAATCTTGAGGCTCCAATTCCATTAGTGTCTCTCCAACACTCCTCGCTAGCTCTAGGTTTCCATGCAAGCGACACGAGCTTATGAAAGCCTTGAAAAGCTCAGCGTCTGGTTTTATAGGCATCTGCTCTATAAAACTACAGGCCTCCTCTAGACGCCCAGATCGCGCTAAGAGATCCACCATGCACGTGTAATGCTCTATCTTTGGTGTGATGAAATACTTGTGCATCATTGTGTTGAAAACCCTCCATCCTTCTGGTACTAGCCCCGAGTGGCTACACGCATACAAGGCACCCAAGAAAGTGACTTCGTTCGGCACAACACCTTCCATCTCCATGGCCTCAAATGCCCGAATAGCTTCCATTCCCATGCCTTGTTTCCCATAGCCCTCGATTAAAGCAGTCCACGAAACTACATTCTTAATTCGCATTTTGTTGAAACACAAGGAAGCGTCCTCCATGTCCCCACATTTAGCATACATGTCAACAGTAGCACTTCCAATAGGCAGATACAGCTCGTGCCCCTGTCTAATAACCAAACCGTGAACTTGCTTACCGACACGCAACGCTGCAAGATTGGCACATATTGAAAGAACACTCACTATAGTCAAAGCATCAACTTCAGCTCCCTCGGACACCATTCTCTCAAAGTAAAACAATCCACTCCTTCCTTCATTGTTACACCCGAGACCCGAAATCAACGAATTCCAAGTGCCCGCATCTCTCTCCAGCATTCTTTCAAACAGTTGGATTGCCTCCGACGTCAAGCGAGACCAGCACAGCCCTGAAATCATGCTGTTCTGGGCAACCACGTCTCTCACAGGAATTTCATCAAACACATTGCGGGCTTCCCGTATATAACTACATTGGACGTAAAAATCAAGAAGAGACGTCATTAAAACCACATCTCCTTTGTACCCATTCTTAACAACTATGCAATGAAACTGTTTGCCTTCCTTAATTGCAGAAACTCTTCCACAGGCTGTTAGAGTTGCTGAGAGGAGAAACTCTGTGATCTTATCAGTCTTTTGGAGTTGACAAAACAAAGTTATGGCTTCACGACTTTTCCCTAGGTCTACAAGAGAAGCAATCCTTTTAGCATATGATAAACTTTTAAAGAGCATTTTAACATGCCAGGGTATTTTGAGGAATGTAATTAGTAGGGGATTAGAGTTTTAACTATACATAACGAATATAATTACACTTGAACCTTCCTTTGAGTTCAAGTGATGATAAGCACTTTTGTAACGAAATTTAACCAAGTTGAGAGGAATAACAGTTGACCAACTTATGCGAGTGTTGGCGTTAGGCACTATCATTATATCATCAGTGGTGTGTCATTGCAGTTCGTATGAGTGGTAATACAATTACCTTTTTTAAAAATAAAAAAAAATTTTCATTTTAATATCACGTGTTATATTAAAATATGAGTTTAGTATCTTTTATTTTTAATAATTTTATGCCGGTACCTCAATTTTTTAAAAAATCTTCTTTTGATACTTTATGACAGTTTTTTGTGACACGAAAAGATAAAATTATCCTTATTATTAAATATAAAAAAAACTCTTTAAAAAGTTTCAAATCTGCAACTAAACACCTAGGCTTCGTTCGTTTCGCTGATTCGAGTTTAGAATTCAAGTTGAGATGTGATTTTATGTGCACATAAAATCACATCTCAACTTAAATTCTAAACTCGAATCAGCAAAACGAACGAGGCCCTAAACTTCATTCTGCCCAAACATAAAGTAAAATTCTTGATTGCAGGTTTAAGATTTTTTAAAAAGTTTTTTTAAATATTTAATAAAAATGGTAATTTTTTCTTTTCTTGTCCCAAAAAACTACCCAGAGGTACCAAAAGAAATTTTTTAAAATGTTGAGGTATCGGCATGAAATTATTTAAAACGAAAGATATCAAACTCGTACTTTAATATAATACAAAATATCAAAATGAAAATTTTCCTTTTTATTTTTTCTTTTTTCTTTTTTTTAAACGAAAGATAAAGTGCGTGTCAATGTCATCCTAGTAACAAAAATAAAAATGTTGCACAGAACTTATATGATTGATTAAGCCTAAATATACCAACAAATGGGAAAAGATTATTCTTTTTTCCCTCTAAGAATGCGCTCATTTTAAAATTCGGTAGCTCCAATAAGAGCATCTGCGCAGGTAGAAGTTGAATCCATGGTGGTGTGAGTAAACTGAGCTCATCTTTCCAATATAATTCAATCATGTCCTTTATGTTTTATTGACAAACCCCCTAGGTTTTCTTCTAAATATGATTGAGGAGCAAAATGAGATTCACCTCATATATTCTCTTATGTTTGTTCCTTTTTTTTTTTTCCTCCCAATAATATCACGTTAAATTGGCACTTTAATAAGTGTTTCCC